TTTTTGAAGTTGTAAGAAATTTCTAATGTAGTTTGCGTATTAATGCTTTTAGTTTGTGAAACATTTTTGTAATCTGAGTGCTTACCTTTAGCATCGGAAAAGGCTAAGGCAGATGCCGAATTCTACCGCGCCCAAAGGGAGGCTGAGGCTAACCGTCTCTTACTAACGCCGTAAGTACTGTTTGCTTTTGATTTCGCAATTTTTTTTTGTCTTAAGTTGTCGTCTGTATCATTTCCATATAAATTCAGTCAATATCTGGAGCTCAAACGTATCGAAGCTGTAGCAAAAAATAACAAAATCTTCTATGGTCAAGACATTCCAAGTGCTTTCTTCCACTCAGAAACTGAAGCTGCACAACATGTTGCGAGTGCTCATCGGGCTGATGCTCACTGAAACTGAATCTTGCCTTCTTCTTTTAACTAATTGAATTGCTCTTAACTTTCAATTATTGTGATTTTGTGATTTGTTATTGTTTTTCCGTTTTGTTTTTGTGATTATTGTTCTTGTCCTTTACGAGACATTAATTTGGGTGTAATGTATCTCACCATATCTGTGAAGCAATCACATGTACCAGCTTCTCAAGAAGCGTTAGGAGTCCCATGAAATACCGGTTCTAAAATCCCTTGTCGTCTTTGTACGAGTAAGTACGAGAAGATTTCGTAAAGATTCGGATTGTTTTTTCAGTGTGGAAAAGTTTTTGTAAGTATAAATCAGGAATTCACTTCCGACATAAAACAGCCGAAGAGTGGAGGTAGCCGTTGTGCGCTGAACTGAAGAATTGATATCATGCACTATTATCAAGCGATATCACCAACGAGCAATAATACAGGATTTCTGCGGATCGATGCCGCCATTTCATTTCTTTTTATGAACATCAGACGCCAGGATCTAACGTGCATCAGGCGTTCTTAGTGGAGAATCTAAGGCGTTTAGTTCGTTTTCTTTTCGTTGTATCAGGGAATTCGCGAGCAAAAAATAAAGCAAGAAGGCTATGAGATAAGTGTAGTCCATTACAGGATATTCTTAGTGATGTTAACTAAAAATGCTGGTTCCTTCCTGACGCTGCCAAAGCGCTAAAGCAATAGCAATTATCAGCTATGATAATGGTTCGACTTCGGGCACAGTGGCAGTGTGAACGACGACTATAAGATCGTTCATAATCATTTGATACAATAGTGACTGCTGATATATGGCATAGGCGTCAGCACGCCCTTACCCTTCCCTTTCCCCTCCCCCCTTTTCTTTTGCCCTCTTCTTTCTACCACTCCCCATTCCGAACGCTAAAACATTTTTACCAAATTGGCAGATAGGCCCTTTTGAATCAAAGGCTAAAATTCTAAGTAAAAAAAAGCTTTGCATTGTTCGCTCTAGATGACAGCTGGAAATTCCTACACTTGGGATAAGTTGATAAAGTGATACATGCAAATATCAACTGTAATAAAATAATGCTTTGTCCCAGATGGTACGATAAATTGGGGACTCGGCATTACTTATTAATAAAGA